AATACTTTGTCCAAAGATAAAATATTAATGGAGTGCAAGGTGTCTTAGTATGGTGTAAACCTTTATTTAAAATTATTATTGTAATTCTCTCTTAAGGATAATTAATCACTTATTTGAAATTTTGTGATTATGAGAGAATTGTCCGGTATTTTAATTAAATTAATTTTAGCAGTATGTTGCCAAAGTAACCTCTACTTGCGAAAAATTATTTAACTTAGATTACATGGATGTAAGTGTAAGGTTATTTTATGTGGGTAGTGCTCGACCCAAAGGACGACATTATTTGACCAAAATAATCAAGCACATTAATGGTAAATACGTGATAATTATAAAGTTGTTGTTCATGTGAATAACAGTCGGTCCAAAGATAGACTGTTGTTTGACAGAACTTATTATCAGTATTTGATCATTGTATTAAGAGTACCGTTCGCAGTTAATTTCTCTGTCCAAAGACTAAGAATTAATGTTGCATTTGGTATCTTATGATGGGTTCCCCAAAATTGGATAAAGTTCTTGTCTTGTTTAATTACCTGGCTTGATGTGTGTTTTCTTTTATATCAATATAGTTTTTCGTGCTTTGGTTTAAACATTTCTGTCGAAATTAAAGTTAACTCTTATGTTAAATGGGATGAATCTCAAGAATTTAAAGTAAATTCAAGACAATTATTCTCGATATATAGGCATTGATCTTGCGCTTTTATGTGGAACAATCCCTATTCTACTTCGGAAAATCTCAATGAGATTTAATAATAGCGAATAGAGATATATCCAGTTCAGTGTGCATGATGATCATTAAGCGCTCTATTCGATGAATAATTATGGGGCTATTATACTGAGATGCCTCTGAGGTTTATTGAAGTAATAATACAGTATTTTGCCAAAACATAAAAGGATTCGGGGGTAGGCTGCCTACTGGGGTAATTTAATCCATAAAGTGTAAAGGCAAAATGTACAAGTGTATTATATTTTGGAGGTGTCAAAAGACATACTCAACACTTGGTTTAATTTATCTTCCTCCATGAAGTTTTAGGTGAGTACTAATATTCACAAAAGGAGAGGAGGGAAGATACGAGATGAGACTGAACTCAATCACTAAACCTCAAATTCTCAGTAAAGGAACAAATAGAGAGTTAAGGATGTTATGGTTTCGTTGAACTTTTAAGGACATGGGGAGGAGTATTTCTACTTACTAGACTCCATTTGGATAAAAGCCATAAAGGTTACAATGTACATCCTTAAATTGAATATTCAGAAGGTAGTTAATGTAACCAATAAGCGCAATAAGGACCTTGCACATTTAGGGTTGTCCAACTTAGAAAATACCTTGTAAGGTATAATAGACAAAAGAATTAACTTATACTTTGTTGGCTACTCAAAAGTACTCTCGAGACTACAAGTTTTATAATCCCACCTCAAGAAGTTTTTTAAATGAGAAATGTGAGATTTCTTGAGTATTTTGAGTTTTGGGGGAAGGAAACATAAGGAATATTGTTACCACACAAACTCAACACACTCAAGAAGTGCCATTAAGTATATCCACAAAGTAGAAGATGGATGATTCTAGCTAACAATATCGTTGTTCTTCAAACAATATATACATGACATCAGGTTGACTAATGATTCAATTTTAGTCAAGTCATGAACAGTTATGAAAAGTGGATTGATGCCATGTGGTGAAGTCAATGAGAGATATAAGGCATGTTGGTCTCTAATGCTTTACTAATAAGGAAAGTGTTGGCTCAAATAGACTTTCTCTCTGGTATATTTGAAAGACTCTTTAAGGAATATAATGGCAATGGTGGCTCATATAAGTATCTCATTATTGATATCACAATGATTCTCATGTTATTAGCTTATTCAGATTTAGAGACTAATGTTGGAGATGATTGTGTATATCTTAAGTTCAGTGGGAGTAAATTCATTTTCCTGTTTTATACATCATGGTTGTTCTACTTAAAGTGAAAGTAGAATAAGTTAGTAAACCAGGAGATGTGTTGTAGCTAAGGGAGACAGTTTTGGTCTCAATCAGTGCCCCGATTATATATAAGAAATTAAGATACAAAATCTCTTGAATGCATATTTGCATTAAAGATATAATGTATACTTTAGTTTATTCTCATCCCAATAAAGCATTTCTAGTAAGAGTCTTTGGTAGATATTTGATTGGTATATGCATGAAACACTAGAAGGATTCAAACGTATAACACGTTTACTAAAGTTGATAAAAGAATTCATGCAAATTTGTTAGAGATTAGATAATTTAGAGATCATCAAGTACTCTGACTCTGATGTTATAGGATGTCAAGGTAGCATAAACTCTACATCAGGTTACCCTTCAGTGTTGGGTAGAGTTCAAATCACATCTTGCGCTTCCTATTATGGTTGCAAAGTTTTTGTCACTAGAATGACATTGGTAAGTTATTAAAGGTTAACAGTGACAATAATTTGATAGTGATACACTATCATTACCATGGATTTCAGAAGTCAAATATATTGACATCAAGTTCCTGGTGGTTAAAGATAAAGTTCAAAATAGACAAGTTTCTATTGAACATTAAGGAAATGACTAATGCTAGCTTATCCATTAGCCAATGGTTTGACACATAAAGTTTTTTCATGAGTATATTGCTCTCATGAGTGTTATTCCGGATGATACCTTGGTTTTGTGAGAGTCATTTAAGTAGTTCAATAGATTATGACTAAATCAATTCTGCAGAATAAAGTGATGGTTTTCTAGAGTCTATTTTTGAATTTAAAGTCCCTTCAGTTATACAGTGGTCACATTGTGTGAAGGAATTTCAGTTGATCTCAATAATGACTAAAGTTGGACTAGTTGAAAATAGGCATGTACAAGATCACATTGCATGTAATTTTCATGCCACTCATCCATATTTGATCTATGTCATCGAGTGTATTGGTATGGTGATCATGGTGGTTTAGTCATTATCATATCGTGATTAAAGCCGCGTTGGTTCCATAATTGATACATGAGGTGGACTAGATTGTTTTAGGAGATGTCTAAGTACAAATAGCATATGGTTGCGCGCCTAAAGAATTTGTGATATAATTTTTTCAAGAAGAAAAAATATGTAGCCCAAGTGGGAGATTGTTAGGAAATTCTATTTCCTATAATGTTATGGGCCACATATTTGACAATTATAAAGCTATTTATTTTAGTGGGCTAATTGTAAGTGATCCAAATCAGGAGCCCAAAGATGTCTTGTATTGATATGAGCCTAAATGGGTGGAAACCCAATACTTGTTCACCTTGGGTTTTATGGGAGCCCATGTGAAACTAGTATATAAAGGAGCTTGAGGTTGTGGTCCCCAATACACCAAGACGAAACACTCTCTTCTTCTCCCCATCAGGAAGATCAGAGGATCCCCGTTAGTGGTCTAAGGAGGCTTGGTTGAGGAAGATCACAAAACCTCCCGGATCGTGCTCCAAGAAGTATCGTCCGGCTGTAGATCGTCTTCCAGATTCCGCATCAAGCTCTTGGCGATCAACAACACGGTTCCAGGTATTTCTACAAACCTTTGATAATCTAACGAGATGTGTTCCGGGGAATTACATATATCGATTAAATTCCAACACCACTATGCCTCTAGGATGAACTATTGATCGGTCAGCTAGTTGGATACTCATCCTAGTTGCACTTGGTTCACCTAGGCCTAGTTTCTTGAACAATTTATATGGTATAACATTGATACTAGCGCCTAGATCCACCAAGGATCTCTCTGCATGCAATTTACCAATAGAGCATGAGATAGTAAAATTACCTGGGTCCCTCTGCTTCTGCGGAAGCTTGATTTGCAGAGTGGCCGAACACTCCTCGCCGAGCTCCACAGTGGACAACTCATTTTTTACACTGGCCCATGTCGGGACCGAAAAAGTTATTAATTTGTACTAGATTATTAATTTATCTAGTATTAATTTATAGAGGTTTTACTGAATGTTCAATTTTTTTGTTCCAAAATATATAAAAATGAATATTTTGAGTAAAAACAATTAGTATAATTTTTTATTCAAAATAATTAGTATGATTTTTCTGTGTACAAATGTTGGATCTTAACTCAGAATGATAAACACATAGTTCGTTAAAATAAATTTTAAAAAAGTTATGGATAACAACCATGTTAGTGACAGGATATCTACTTCCAATTGTGTTTAGGGGTGTTCAAACGGTGTGGTTACCATGGTAACCGTTTTAACTAGTACTATTTAGATAATTTGGTTTGGTTAATTTGGATAATTGGTTTGGTTTAGTTAAAGTTTTTAGCTTGTTTGGTTTAGGTGGTTTGGTTTGGTTTGGTTTCAGACACTCTTAACCAGTCAAACCAAATTAACCAGATAAATAATTAACCATATATCTAATATATACACATACTTAATACTTTGAATAACCACTCAAGAGTTAAACGTTCATCCCTTTTAGACTCATAAAATATAAAGCTTAATATTGTTCCTATAATGTATATTTGTATATGTAGAGTGTAGACCACAACAGATGAATGCCTAATTTAGATAAATCTCATACATTATGTTGGATGATAACTTGAAAGCAAGGTCCTTTTGAGTCTATGAAAATTGCTAAAAGACTAAGTCAATTCAATTTCAAACAAACACAACAATTCATTAACTCATACCATTGTGATAAATTTTTGCTAGGTGAATACTTCTATACTAACCGTAAGATAATTGTTTTAGTTGCCTGTATTTATGTTAAAGGTCAACTATAACCAAGTGTTGATTGTTATGTTTTATTCATTATATAAATTGTGAATTGATAAATTAATCAAAAATTTTCTCACTAAATGATAATGTGATTTAATATTGGTTAATCTGGTTAACCAATTAACCAAACCGATTTAACTTTAGTTTGGTTAATTTGGTTGTTGTATTAGTTTGGACGATTTGGTTATGATATTACATTCCATGGTTAATGAAATTTAGCCTTATTTGATTTGGTAATAACCATGATACAAACTTTTTTTTTTTCTCTTAGAGTTGTTTTTATTAGAATGGCATTCATTTGTCTTTAATGTTAGTGCTACTCAAGAGATCGAACCTCCTATTGTTGAATCAATCTGTGAAGATTCACATCCTACCCGAAGTCGGTGACATTGCCAAAACTGACGATTTCTTATCCCCGTTATCGGAGGATGAAATAGATCTGAAGCAGCCAAGACTTAAAAATAGAGTAAGGAAGGGGCAAAAGTTGACAAGATTAAAGCTACAAACGGAGAAGACAAAAGTACGTACACCATTTCAGGTATGCATCTCCCATTGTGATACCTTATATGTTATAAATGAATCGGAGGTTCTCCAAATCAGAAGCTGAGGGTTCACAATCAATGAAACTGGGTTCTCCAGACCCTCTGCCCTAGAGAACTGAGAACCGAAAACCATCACCTGAAGACCTTAAACAACAACTCGAAAAGCATAAATGTAATCCTTTGAACTTTGAAGAAGACTGTACACTCCATTTGAAAGACCAGACCAACTTTAAGCCCAATATCCATCATTCCCGGTGCGTCTCACTGGGAGGTTCCCATGATCACTCATACTCCCTCTCAATCTGTAAAAGGATGGCTTACTTCTCACCGTTCTCAAAGGACCAGACCTATTCCCTTGCCTGATAGGTGATGAAAATCGTTCCCCAAGCAAGCTCGAGGCTGAGAGAGGTCGGTTTTCCAACTCTTCAAGTGGACCTGAACTGTACTCCATTGTAATGAAAGGTGAGGCTTGCCCATATGTTAGATGAGGGGAGACTGCACCTGCATTCCACCAACTTCTGTCTGAAGGAACGAAATCGCCTTTCAAATCTGAATCATCCAGTGTGGAAGACTCCTTTTGGCTGTAATTGTCCTCCGCACATGTCTCATCAGTGTCGTTGTAGATCAGTTTGAGAGCCTGCACAACTTCTCCCATAAAAGGTCTGCTAGTTACTTCCGGGTGGACACACATCGAGGCAATGGCTGCCACCTTGGCCATGTCATCAAAGTCATAGCTTCCAGATAAGGAAGGATCAACTAGCTGCTCCAACCCTTCTCTTGTTGTCAGAAGCGGACGTGCCCACGTTACCAGGTTTTCCTGCCCTGATGGTTGGGACATATCCACAGGTTTTCTTCCTGACAGAAGCTCAAGTAACACAACCCCGTAACTGTAGACATCACTTTTGACAAGCAGATGCCCTGTCATTGCATATTCAGGGGCAACATACCTGCCAAATCAGGAATTAGTGGAGTTTAGACAGCCAATTGAAGGAGATTTTTTAACCGTTCCCTTGTACCAACTTGTTGCATCACAAACAACGGTAATATCACAGCTCTCAGGAACGGGGGGGTACAGACAGATTACTGCATGCACGATGAGGAAATTAGAAGAAAAACATATGCATGATTACCCGAATGTTCCCATGACCCTAGTAGATATATGATGGCTCCCTTCAGTTGCTTCCCTTGCCAAACCAAAATCAGATACCTTGGGGGTGAAATCATCTTCTAGCAAAACATTACTAGCTTTGAAATCTCGATGAATCACGCGAGGATTAGAATCTTCATGGAGATAGGCAAGTCCTCTAGCTGCTCCAAGGGCAATTTTCAACCGTGCATCCCAGTCAAGGTATCCTTGTTGTTTATCAATACCTGAAACACAGCTAAATACACTAAACTGAATTGTACCAACCGGTGATTCTGCTTGACGGAATTACGCACAGTACAAAGGGCTTTTACTCATTAGTTCAGTGGTATAAAGCATTCTAATCTTCAAAAGGAGAATACCACAATCAGGGAAGTAATATTTGAGACAGAGCGTATGACAATTTTAAACATTAAAGATGATGGCACGTACCATGCAAATGAGATTCAACACTACCATTATGAACAAGTTCATACACCAAACAGCGTGTACGCCCTTCAATGCATATACCAATCAGTTTGATGAGATTACGGTGATGCAATCTACTCAGCATCTCAACTTCTGCAATAAACTCACGGTCGCCATTCTGATTTTCCCTAGTAAGCATCTTCACTGCAATTTCAGTCCTGTCCTCCAATAGTCCATGATAAACACGTCCAAATCCTCCTTCCCCCAGGATCCTCTTTGAACTGAACTTCTCCGTAGCCCTCTCAAGCTCCAGATAAGTAAATGCTTTTACAGATAACATACAAGGAGCCATGTTGGACATGAGGGATACTGATGTTGAACTTGCAATACTACTTGTTAAGAAGGATCCGACACCTGCAATTAGACAACAGACCTCATAAAAATTCAGCACAAGCAGTAAGGCAGAACTAAGGTCCATTAAGTTAAAATTTTGTATTGTCAAATTTGACACATTCAAACAACCAGTATACTCCATCAGACAGGAGAATGAAATTGTTCAAGAGGCTAATTAAGATAGTGACAATAAAAATTGGAACAAAATGAGTTACTATAGATAATGTATAAGAGAAGTGGAAACATCAATGCTTGGATTGCACGACAGGAAGTAGTAATGTCATGCTGCTCTTCAGAGAAACCAGTGCTCAGACTAAACCAAATTGACAAATAGTACGCAATGGTAATTCTGTCTGGCTTAAAAGGATTATAGAACAGAACCTCCGTCAAATGAATAAGGGGCACATTCGCAAGCAGTACATAATCACAATATTGAAAGCAAATAAGCTCATACCAAATCTTTTATTGATAGATTGCGGGAAGGCAGGACCAACAGCATTTGACTGTTTTCCAAACTTTTTCCATTTTATGAAAATGGAAACTGCCCCAATTAAGACCAACAAGAGCACAAATGCTGATAATGCGATGATTATTAAGGTTCTAAAGTTCATCCCTTTGTTCTTCTTCACTGGATTGGCAGTGATTGGTAGATCTCCACCACTTCCCGACGGACTGCTGGCTGTATAACTTGGATATGGTGGCGAAGAGGGAATGCCTGATAGAAACTCTATGGTCATGTCCAACACAAGAGAGTAACAACAGAGAGCAAATATCTGGTATGAATGAAATAATTACCTGGATAAACAATGGAAACCACTTCATAACTACCAAAGATAGTCATATTTAGAGGCACTTTCTTATGCCAGAATCTTTGATAAATAAGGGTAGCCGTGGTATTATCAAATTTGTCTCCCAGTGGAACCAAGTTAATGTCAACCACTGTTTCTCCCTGATTTTGAGTATCAGCAGTGGCACCCATTATCTTTACCTGACTCTGTTCCAAATAAGCTCCTGTTGCAACCTCAATCTCTAGCTCATTCATCACTGGGAAAATGGTGTAAGGAGCAACAGTCAGAAGAAGTCTGACTTTCATAGGAAAAACACAGCCACAAGGTGAACCAAATGGAGTTGACGTGAGTGGATCCACACAAATTTGGTCACAGCCTGCCAAGACACATCTATCAGAAAGAACACACTAATACATATATCAGGAAGATAAGAATTTCAGAATTTTAGATCTAAGAATTACTCGTGGTTTCTGAACGGGATGGAGGGACTACAGCTGCTTTTGGATGGTGATGTCGATGATGGCCACGACGTCTTGGTAAGGGAGCAATTCTAGGACTAGAGGAGACTGGTAAAAGAGAGGTTATGAGTAACTTTAGTAACAAAAGATGGTAAAAGCAATTGAAACCATTGCCTGATTGCATTTTCTTGTAATACCCGTATTCAGCGGGAAAGGGGCAGGGGCAGAAGATGGGTTATAGGCAGGTCTAAACATATGCCTTTGAGGTGGCTGCGAACGACCAAATGGAACACCCTTTGAAGTTGACCTTGCTGCAAGCAATATAGGAAACACGTAATCACGAATCTATTGACAGCAACTATACCGCAAGTGAAAGAACATAAAATGCCCGATCGCCTACGTTGTTTCACCCAAATGCCGTTTGTAGGTAAACGCCGAGTAGTTTGCACAGGAGTTAAATACATGTGAAATAACGAGTTCCCTACAAGAGAAGAGTAGATACATGACTACATTGAATAATTGAAGGACATAAGCACCTTGATCCCAGTGACATAGAGCCGAAGATGTTTGCATGAGTCAAAATCTAGCAAGAAATCATTTTCGAAAATGTTATCAAACTAAGAAGTTATATCTTCAGGAAGATAATCCCAGATTCTATCACTCCGTTTTTCACCATTCCACTAAACAATAAAATAAAAAAGTGGCATCATGTGGATAAGAAGGATCTCGCATTGGACGGATTTATCTACATGATGTAACAACTCATTGCGACCAGGTTTCCCACACAAGCATACTCATAGACTCGCAGCCATGGAAGGTTGCATCACAAGCTTATAACTAGAAATACAGGCATAGCCACCACGATACAAGGCAGGCAGCCCCCTCTATACGATATCCAAGCTTGAAAATGAATAAGAGAGACACAGACTGCAGATAGTGGGGGTAGTCTTCCCTAATCCTAAAAAAATTGTCTCGTAGCAAACTGACTAATTTCGTCTCCCATCGCTAAAGGCGGCTGTGCCAGAAGCGGACGGAATAATAACTTGCAAGCAGCAAGTGAAGTTTTGGTATCGCTTCCTTATTCTACAATCTCAAACTGTGTCTTTCAAATCCACACTCAAAGCTTCGGCCGACACCTCATAGCGGGAAATACAGAGAAGTCACAATTCAAAAGACAAGGCGGAGAGGAGAGAAAGCTCGTCAATTTACCTAAACAGGTAAAAACAAGGCGAAGTAAGCAAAGAAGCAGCAGCAGCACCCAGGTTCGCATCTTCTTCTCCGGAAGCGAAATCAAACACCATTGTCAAAAGCTACCGACACCGTCAAGCGCAACAGCGTGTCCAGCCGAGATCCAACTGAAGGAGCAGTAACTATTCATAGGGTTTCTTCTCCGCCACCAACAATCCACAATCTCAAACTCGGCAGCCGCCACAAGAGCTGACTGCATAGCTCAAGCGTGGAAAAATGGGAGAAAGGCTCAAACAGCGGAGTCGCCTCGCGATGCTATAAAGTAGAGAAGAGAGAGAAGGAGGAGGAGAGGAGACAGTGCCCGTGTGCCGAGCTGCAGATCCATGAAATGCGGGCCCGAAAATCTAGGGAGACAAGTCGTCGCCGGCGTTCAGAAGTTCCGTCAGAGAAGGGGAAAGAAAGAAGACAGCCACGAGGGTGTCAATGGACGCCGGAATTTTCAGCTGAAAGAGGTAGGTAAGGTAATGGCAGCGTATAGTTGTTGCGATGCGAGGGAGTAGATTGAACAAGAGTTGGTTGAAGAAAGAGACCAGAAAAGGAGGGAGGGAGGGAAAGGGGAGCCTTTATTGCGAGGCTTTACGGAGGGAGGGAGGGAGGGAGGGAGAGTAGCATTGAGTTGAGTATAGTGGAGTGGGAGAAGGGAGCAGTGTGTGTTGCTATAGCATTACGCTGCTTGCAAGAAATGATCATGGCTGTATTCCTCACGCGTCCGGACCCTACTTGTAGGAGAGCGTGTAATTACGCGCTGTAGTTGGACGAGGAATTTGCTACCGTTTTCCATTGTCGGTTTGTGCTTCTCGCTCAGTTTTTTTTTCAAGGTTTAGCAAAACCTTACCGTATCAGCCGGTTGTGCCGGAAATATCGGACACCGGACTCAAAACTATAGACGATTTTAAAGGTAAGAAACTATTCAACAACGGTTATAGTATAAAATACCCTATCAATCACTTTTCCTGTATAATATTCAGTCGGTTTTCTGAACTTATTTTTTAAATTTTTTTTATATTTAATTACAAATCAAATCTACTAGAGCTTGAGTAACACACATTTGGCCAGCTAAGAATGACTGACTCGTCCCGGGTATCACAATTAATTCCCGCCTAAGGTCCAAGTATAAACCTGAGTAGGGTGCAATACAAGGCAAGTATGCTTAAATATCGACTCGTGCCGGTCCGTGTACCCCTACTTCAATTGTTTGAAACATTATCTAGCGAATCGGTTTTGGTTGAAAAGATTTCTAATTAAAGTAAAGCAAGACAAAAGTAAATGGTTTTGAAAGCTCTATGTGAGAAGGATCATTCGGGTGTCGCTTCCCCCTAACTACTACCATGGCATGAGGAATTGAATTAATTGTTACGGGCAAGGTGACCGCGAAGCTCAGCTTTCCCAATCCGAATCACAATAGCCTATCAATTTCAATTCAGCATGACTACTAAAATGTATACCTTGCCCAGGTGAATTCTTCAAATACCTCAGTACTTTGTAAGCTGCTTGTAGATGATCTGTGTGTGGATCCTTCTAGAACTAGCATAACTGCTGCACTGCATACGTTAAATCGGGTTTGGTTATAGTCACATAGTGCATCCTTCCAATCAGCCTTATGTATGACTCAGGATCATCCAATCTTGTTCCTTGTCCTGCTGTCAATTTGGTTTTGGTATCTGCTGGTAAGACAGTGCCTTTAGCCTCAAGATATCATGTCTCTTCCAGTAGATCCAAGCTGTATTTTCGTTGACAAACAGACAAGCCTTCATCTGATCTGGTCACTTCTAGTCCCAAGAAGTACTTCAGAGGACCTAAGAACTTGATTTTGAACTCCTTGCTTAGAGCCAATGTCCTTAGGTGCATCACCTACCAATATTATATCATCTACATAAACCAGCACAATTGATGTTCTACCTCGAATCTACTTAGTAAACATATAGTAGTCTGAGCTTGACTGTGAAAATCCACTCTTCAATAAGAAATTAGTCAGCTTGGCAAACCATTGTCTGGATGCCTGTTTTAATCCATATAAAGATTTCTTCACACGACAAGCTACCTGCCCTGAACTCCCAGTGGTACTTTCATGTACACTTCTTCAGTTAAATCACCTTGCAAGAAAGCATTTGAAACATCTATTTGTTCTAGACTCCAGTTTTTAACTATTGCCACTGCCAACAGGGCCTTCACGGTATTGATCTTTGCTATAGGGGAATATGTATCCAAGAAATCCACACCATACACATGTGTAAAAGCCTTTTGCAACTAATCTGGCTTTGTACCTTTCAGGGTACCATCAGGTTTCAATTTGACCTTGACCACCCATTTGTAACCAATGGCTATCTTGTTTGGTGGTAAAGATACAATGTCCCATATCTGGTTTTCCTCCAGTGCAGCTAGTTCTTCATCAATAGCTCTCTTCCACTCTACATGCTTCACTGCTTCATTATAGCTCATTAGTTCCATCTGTGTGATCACACTCATTTCATATTTTCTATCTTCTATGCTGAGATTATCCACTTCCAAGCAAATAGGATACTTGGTTACTGAAGCAGTTGTGCCAAAACCACAAAACCTTAGTCTTGTGTCTAGCTCATAGTCTTGGTACTTAGTTGGAAATTGATGACGTCTGGTAGGTCTAGCGGGTGGTTCATAATCAGCTTGAGGGTCAAGTTTAGGATCATGTTCACCATAGCAATGGAAGGTGAATCATGTGGAAGTTCTGGTTGTGAAGAAGACTAAGACTGTGATGTGGAGGTTACCCCCTATCATTAGAGGGTGGATAAAAAGTGTGAGATGGAGATGGTGAGGAAAGGGGAATAGTGATAGGTGGGGTAGAAGGAAAAGAATGAGGGGAAGTTGGAACAAGTGGTGGTGGTGATGCAGAAGAAGGAGGATTAGTGTGTCTAAAAGGCAAAATCAATTCATGGAACACTACATTTCTAGAGACAAAGACTTGATGGTCATCCAGGGAGAGGAGTTTGTAACCTTTAATGCCCTGAGGGATACCTAAAAGAACACACTGTTTAGCTCTAGCATCAAACTTGGTTTTGTCATGAGTGAGAGTGCTAGCATAACATAGACACCCAAAAACTCTAAGATGGCCTAGGAAGGAAGGTTTGTCATACAAAAGTTCATAAGGAGAACGATTGTTTAAGACAGGGGTGGGAAGTCTATTAATGATGTAAACTGAGTGAAGGATGAAATCACTCCAATATTGAAAAGGAAGACCTGACTGGAACCTTAAGGATCTAGCCACATTCAAAATGTGTTGGTGCTTCCTTTCTACCCTAGCATTCTTCTCAGGGGTCTCAACACAAGACATCTGATGTTCTATACCATGTTCCAGATAAAAATCACACATATTGAATTTCTTGCCCTGATCACTTCTAACTGTTTTGACAGTTTTCCAAATTGATTATGTACCAAACGACAAAACCCTTTCAACAATTCTCTGGTTTCACTTTTGTGTTTCATTAAAAACACCCAAACTGCACTTGAATAATCATCAACCACAGTAAGGAAATAAGCAAATCCATCATAAGAATGAACAGAAAGTGGCCCCCAAATGTCAACATGGATCAATTAGAATAAATCATTTGCATGACTAGTGCTAACAAGAAAGGGAAGTTTCTTGTGTTTGGAATAGTGGAAAGCATCACAATGAGAGACTTTAGTAGCTGTTACAGTGGAATCAGATTGTTGTAACAAGGAAATTCTATCACTATTGGGATGGCCTAATCTCCAATGCCATAGATCAAACTGATGTCTACTAAAGTTGAGGGTTGTTGCTGCTTGTGGTGGTGGTCAGAGTTGGGTAGAAGCTGGTGGTGATTTGGTGCATTATAGCACCCGTGGGCCTTGGTGCCGAGTTGGGCTTAGTCGTTAGGGTATTATTATTAGTTAATTGTCATGTTATAGTAATTATTTAGGGATATTCGTATTAGTTTATTGTGTCTTGTTGAGTAAGTTATTAGTTGCCTTGTTTGAGTGGGATAGGGTTAGCTATTAGGTTTTCTAGTATTTCCCTATAAATATGTACTTTGTGGTTCAATTATGAATAAGAAGAAGATTATTCCAGTAATTATCGTAGTCATTTAGGAGTAGAAGTAAAGTAATTTAGCGATCCATGACGCATGAGAATCTATCACACGCCAATTGGTATCAAAGCATGGTTACAAGGCGATGAGCACCGAATGGCTCTCCAGGGATGACCTCAATCGACTGATCCGACTGAACGAAAGCATCTTGTCCTGTTGCGGAAGGTTCGTGACGGCCTGTGACAGAGCTACCGTATCCGCTACCCTCACCACGACGTCAGCGTCGACGTTGCACGAAGCCATCCATGCCGTGTTGTTGATATCGACATCAATCCAACAATCGAGGAGCTAGTCTTAGCTGGAAAGATGTCGTCGATGGAGCTTCTTTCTGGAGTGCCTACTTCCATCGATCCCACCGCAGAGTTTGGAATGCCACACAAGGAGTTAACTCTAGCTCGTAGGCGATCATCGTCCGCACCACCACCAATCACCATTGCAACCTCGACTGTCGTAGCCGAGGCGTTCACGATCTCCGCCGCAACAACAATCACGCCAACCACTGAAGTCAAGGAGCTGATCGAAGCTTCCTTTCCATCATTCACAGCATCGTCTATCGTCACCGTCATCCACCGCGCCGACGTTGACTCCACCAAGCTTGAGCCTCCAACCGTCGATGAGAAGGAGCTACTCGCAACACCTTCGCCATCAATTGCTTCCAACAAGGAGCACACCATCGCTCCATCATCATCACCTGCGGACGACGCCGAGCTAACCGTAGCTCAGTCTTCGCCACGCCCAGCATCATCACGTGAAGAGCCTCCCAACCCCTCCGCTGCCACTACCTTCACCGTGAGTCAAGGGAAGCCTTCAGTTCGCGTACCCGTAGCTTCGACGCTATGGTATGATGCTGATCTAGAAGACTCACCGGAGCTCCTAGGTCATTTCACACCATCGACTACTACACCAACACCAGCAACACTCATCACCGCCTCTCTACGAGAGCTTGACCGAGAGAAGGCTCTCTTTGTTATGCCATCACCGTTGACCACGTCCTGACCGAAGGACAAAGTCAATACGAACTGTTTCCACCATGACTACTGCTGCGTCAATCAAGGCAGCGTGCCTTATCAAATTGGCGACCGTGACTATGGCTACGATGCATGAAAACGAGAAGCAATCGGCGTCCTTCGAGTCGATGGCAGCTTTGGGGGAAGGAGTAGCTTGTGAAGTGAACAAAGAGAAAAAGAACGAGCTAACCGTAGCCTCGACTTCCGCAAATTTAGCGTTCGCTGCTGCTCTGCTAACGGAGTTTTTCCCGGTAAGTTTCACTACCGCATTTACCGCTGAAGAAGGCTTCACGAGTAAGCCATCGATCAACATGGAGCTGGTTCCAGCGCCGAGAGCATCTTTCACCACCATTAGTTTCGTCTCGATGGAAGCCTTGGGTCAAGGTTTGAGAGGGAAGTTCGAAGTTGCAACCGAAGCGCTACTTTCCCAAGAGTTCTTTGCGAACCTGGATCGCTCTTCTATGCACGATGGGAAGAGGATGGTGGTCTGCTTCAAATGGTGCGATAATGAGATGGAGGTATCAAATGATCTTTTATTATTTAAATTTGGGT